TTGCCTTTGTCTTTGCCCGGTACCCCGCTCCCGCCGACTGGCACCCCCCTACTCATCAACGTCAGCGACGTGCGCGCTGATGCAGAAGACGCCTCGCCCTCCCCATCGCCCACCCAGGCAGAGGACGAGGACGAGGAAGAGGAATCAGGCGCAGAGGCAGACGTCGAGGAGGCGGGGGCGGACGGGTATGGGTACGAGGACGAGGACGACGTCGAAGATGGAGATGGGGACCCGGGGGAGCTCGCGCTGCCCGCGATGCCCTTACCCCTCCCTCTACCTTTGCCGATGCCCTTACCGTGGACGGCGGCAACGGCAAGCGCCCCGATGGCATTCACGCCGCCCGCGGACGACGTGGACGTGGAGCCGCTTTTGCTTGACTTTCCTGGGCCTGGGACGCCGGTGTTGGTGCCGGGGCTGCGTGTGGAGACTTTTGATTCTGGGGGCGGCACGCAGGACGTGGGCGAGCACGACATCGCGTCGCCCGTCACCGCCACCCCCACGAGCACGAGCACAAGCACGAGCGACTCGCCGGCGGAGCGCACGCGCCTCCTGCCGTTGCCCCCGTACTCGCACTCTGCCGCGCGCCGCCCGCGCTCGCGGACAGAAGGCCGCCCACCCGCTTCGGCGTCCTCTGCCCACGAGGAAGGGGAAGACGAGGCAGCGGACGGCGAGGAAGAGGTGGAAGACGCCGACGATGCCGATGCCGACGACGGCGAAGAGGAGGAGGAGAACGAGGAAGTCGACCTGAGCACCGGCATGATCGCGCTGCGGCGCCCGCCGGCGTGGTCGCGGCGCGCGGCGGCGGCGCCTGCGCTGGGGCTGCCGAGCTCGGCGCTGTTGGCGCCGCAGGAGGCGTGGGTCGTGCCGGGGGCGTTCCCCGGTGCGGGACCTGCGTCTCCGCCGACTTCCCCTCCCGCTGGCCACGCCCAGGCGGGCTCCGCTGCCCCTACTACTGCCACTTCCACTTCCACCGCCGTCGAGCGCACCAATAGCAACGCGAGCGGCAAGCTGAAGCAGCGCCGCTCGCCGCTGGACGCCGCGCTGGCGATGCAGCTGCGCCCGGGGATGGGCGCGGGCGCGGACGGGGCGTGGCTCGTGCGGTTCTTGATGAGCTTCTTTGGGTGGTTTGCGGTGCTTGTCGCGGGGGGGAGGGAGTTCTCGTAGCGCGTGGTTCCTCCTCTCGTCGGCGTGGTTTTGGGTCGTGAGTTTTGAGGTTGATTTTTTTCTTTCGCTATGCTTCCTTCTCTTTTTTGTGTTACGCTACGCTACCGTCACGCTATCATGATCACTCGCACGTTTCTCTCTGAGTCTCTCCCTTTCTTTCTTTCTTTCTTTCATTCGCATATGCATTTCATTTATCGGCACACACACACATAGTCCTCTCCGCACCGCATATTTACATCCACCCACCATCCATATATCCCACACGCACGCATCCCTCATCCTCGCATATTTAGATTCAATGACAACGCACGCATGGATTCTCCTCACGCACGCACGCACGCATACCTCCATACTCTCGCATACATATTTCTTGCACATAGCACGTACATACTTGGTACTTACTCGTAATTTAATCTTTTGGGTAATTTACATAATGGGGTGTTTGTTGATGGCCTCTCTCTCAGGGGTGCTCGACGAAGGGGATTAATGAGGTAAAGGGCAGAAAGGATGGGTAGTTGTTAATCGGGTGTGGTGTACGGTGCACCGCGGCGCTGCTTGCCCAGGTGAACGACGTAGTGTAAAGTGATGCTGCAGGCCGGGGTTCGACTCCCCGCACCTGAAATGTGGTAGAATTCAACGCAGCAATTTTTTCCTTTTCGTGGATTTTTTCCTGCGGGGGGGATGGGAAACCGCGTTCCGGCCGACTAGGTCTCCATATGCTGAGCTCTCGCTCGGCTCTAATATGCGGTGCCGTTCAAAATATGTTTATGTTCATTGAGGCATGCGAAGCAAGATTCACTGAAGGTGAACTGCTTGACGTTCAATCCATACATCGCAGTCGGGTGTAGTGCACGCTGCATGGTGGCGTCACTTGTAAGTGTGGAAAAACGGCGGACTTGCGGTGAATGGGGTTCGACTCCCCGCACCCGAATACTGTAGATACAGTCCAGTTTTTTTTCTCCTTTTTGCCTGTTTGCCTCACAACAATCCACCGCAGACATGAATGGATACTATTACGCTCGGAATAATATGCCCGGGTCCAAGATTCGAACAGGACGTACGGCGTAGGCCTGGTGCCACAGAAGCCACAGAATTGTGTTTCGCGCTAAAATGCGCCACGGAAGAAAGGCAAGCGGAAGCCGACAAACAGAGAGGTGTTGTGGATTTTTTGGGGGTCCGAAGCCTGAGCAAACTAGCGACGCTGTTTGTCGTCAGAAGGGAAGAAGCAGTGAGGAGGGAGCAGTGCTACCGCCAGAAGGAAAGAAAGGTACCGGATAGAAGGACGAGAAGGAGCCTGGGAAGCGAATCGGAGAAACGAGCAGGTTTTGAAGAGCAGAGACCCCCAGGAGATTCGAGTGGAATTCGACCGTAGTGAAAGAAAGTTTGCTTTCTTCAATTCCCGTCCCTCGTTGGAAGGGCGTGGGTGGCACCCGCGCGGTGGAGTCTGGAGAGAGAGGAACGTTGCGTATTACTTGGAAGTGGAAAAAAAAAATGATATACTCGCTGTGAATGGGATTCGACTCCCCGCACCCGATTAACTTGTGTGGATATGGTCCAATTTTTTTTCTTCTTTTTGCCTGCTTGCCTCCCAACAATGCAGAACAGACAGAAATGGGTATCATTACGCTCAGAATAATATGCCCGGGTCCAAGATTTGAACACGAAGTACGGCGTAGGCCTGACGCCACGGATTAATATTGTGTTGCGCCAAAAAACGCGCCCTGGAAGAAGGGCATGCGGAAGCCGACAAACAGAGGGGTGTTGTGGATTTTTTGCTTATCTGAAGCTTGAGCAAGCGAGCGACGCTGTTTGTCGTCGGGATGGAAGAAGCGGTGGGGAGACGAGGGAGCAGTGCTACCGCCAGAGGGAAAGTTGCTGGATAGAAGGATGAGAAGGAGCCCTAGAAGCGACTTGGAGTGAAGAGCAGGTTTTGAAGAGCATCAGTGCCTTCCTGCGATCCCCTCGAGTGGAATTCGACCGTAGTGAAAGAAGGTTTGCTTTCTTGAATTTTCAATTCCCGTCCCTCGTTGGAAGGGCGTGGGTGGCGCCTGCGCGGCGGAGAGAGAGGAGGGGTGCGAGAGCCTGGCCTTGACAGGGTGGTAGCTGCGGTCGCAAGGCGAAAGAGGAGGGGCCAGTGAAGCGGGGAGAGGCCCGGGGGAATAAGGGAGTCTTAGGGGAGGAGGATCATCCTACTTTTCTGCTGCGACGAGGAATGATATCATTGCCGCCAGTGTATAGATTTCCAGGCCAGGTAACTGATTTGCGGTCTAAAGCAAAGGTGGGCGTCCTACGCGGGATAGTCTCTGGATAATCGCAGGGTAATTGGGACGCACGGGACATGGAAGAGGAGGAGGAGAGAACGAGGAAAGGGACTGCAGCGTGCCCGAAGCGAGGACGCCCCGGTGGCCTCTACCCGGCCCGCCAGTCCGACGTCGTCTAGAGGTAACACCCGCAAATATGTGGTTGTTTTTTTTTCAACCACGCCAACAGGAACAGATCGGAGGACATGAAATTGTAATTGTAATCCACGCTTGGAATTAGCCAATTTTTTTAGTGATTCTGACTGCCGTTGATTTGTGTCAGTTTCAAGTTGGCAACTCTGCCAAGTTCTGAATTGCCTTCAACAATTGTGGTAACTTCAATTTTCGCCACCAGCCCCACTTGCCCCCACTTGCCCCGACTCGCACTCAACCCCACACCTCGGGTGTAGTGCACGGCGCATGGCAGCAGTTATTAATTCGGAAGCCATTTGAACCTTTCAGCTGCAGTCTGGGGTTCGACTCCCCGCGCCGGAATCACTCAAAAATGTTGCGGAGGTTTTTTTTTTTCACCTAAGTATATTTATACTTTTCAACTCTTCTTTCAATTCCGGATGAACTTGTTGCATATGCTCGATGTGTTGAGGCTAGGAAGCTGAGGATGATTCCCCGACTCTCAACCGCGCAAACGTGGCGCGAACCGCGAAATTCAACCCTGGATCGCAGGCCACAGTCTAAGCTCATACTCGTGTGTGGTGCACGGCGCACGGTGTGTAATAAGCCGACACTGCGTAGCTAAGCTAAACCGCAGCTAGGGGTTCGACTCCCGCCACCCGAATTTTCCGTGAAATTCCTTTCTTTTTCTACAATTCCATTCACGCAGAACGAGAAAAAAACCTGCCAGTGACTCTGATCAGACTTCGGCTTTCGCGGGGCCGATTCTTTTTAACAGACTTTGGCGTGAAAAGCCACATTGCGCGGGGCCCCCGGCATCGAAAAGAGGTATTTCAACATCATCCGTTGTGGGTGATGGTTCAGAGCCGACTTGGGGTTCATGTATTTTATGGTACAGCCGATGCATGCATACGTCCAAGCGGCCCTCGGGTGTAAATATCACAATGCCCCCTTGCAAGTCTCGACGCTGTCGTGGAGACAGACCTGCGTCGATTGCAGTCGTGACTCGGAGCCAGCTCGTAATACTAATAGATTCATCCTATGTATCTACATAGGGCGAGGCATACGGGTAGGGGCGTCTTGGGTGTGGTGCACGGTGCACAGCGGCAGACAATGAGTTTGAAGCCAGCACTTACCTGCTGCAGACCGGGGTTCGACTCCCCGCACCCGAATATGCCCGAACTGAATTGTCTTTTTCACGCAGAAAGAAAATCCGATCTTTGCAGTCTACCTTAAAAACCCGACCTTCGCTGTCTGCTAGAAAAAATATATAATCGTCATGGAACCGCACCCTCCTGCATAACATGAAAAACGCGGAATTCAACAGGCTCACGCTGGCGATACGAGATTTGGTTGGATTCCTCCGCCAGCCCACTTCTACCGACTCGCAAGCACCCTCTCAACTCGGGTGTGGTGCACGGCGCACAGCAGCGGAAATTAATGTTCAAATATATGCCTTACCTGCTGCAGACCGGGGTTCGACTCCCCGCACCCGAATTGCCCAAAAAGAAATCCACTTTTTCGCGCAAAAGGAAAACCTGACCTTGACTGTCTGTTGGCAAAAAAATCTCATCGCTTTGGAACCGCACGCTCCTGGACGACATGAAAAACGCCAAACCGAACAGGCCCACGCCGGCGATAAGGATTTGGATTCCTCCGGCAGCCCACTTCTCCGAGCTTGCAGGCGCCTTCTCAGCTCGGGGTGGTGCACGGCGCACAGCAGCGGATAATGATCGAGTACCTCTAAATCCCATATCGGCTGCAGACCGGGGTTCGACTCCCCGCACCCGCATACGTCCGAAAGGAATCGACTTTTTTGCGCAGAAAGAAAACCCGACCTTGACTGTCTGATAGAAAGATATATATAATCGCCATCAGAACCATACCCTCCTGGATGACGTGAAAACGTTAACGCCCAATTAAACAGGCCCACGCGGGCGACAAGAGATTTGGATGCCTCTGGCAGCCCACTTCTCCGAGCTTGCAGACACCTTTTCGACTTAGGTGTGGTGTACGGCGCACAGCAGCGGATGATGATGTTGAGGGAGAGAATTCTTACCTGCTGCAGTCCGGGGTTCGACTCCCCGCACCCGGATAGTCTCGAAGAATCGACTTTTTCGCGCAGAAGGAAAAACCAACCTTGTCAATGGCTGTCTGTTGGAAATTGTTATAATCGCTTTGGAACCGCAACCTCGAAAACGCCAATTTGACCAGGCTCACGCGGGCGATGAGATTTGGATTCCTCCGGCAGCCCACTTCTCCGAGCTTGCAACCACATTCTCAACTCGGGTGTGGTGCACGGCGCACAGCAGCGGAAATTAATGTTCGAATATACGCCCATACTGGCTTCAGTCCGGGGTTCGACTCCCTGCACCCGAATACTAGTAGTCCTGAAGAAATCGACTTTTTTGCGCTGAAAGAAAACCCGACCTTGGCTGTCTTTTCGGGAAAAAAAGTTATCATCGCTTTGAAACCGCATGCTCCTGGACAACGTGAAAACGCCAAACCGAACAGGCCCACGCGGGTGATGAGAGATTTGGATTCCTCTGGCAGCCCATTTCTCCCGGCTCGCAACCACTCTCTCAGCTCGGGTGTGGTGCACGGCACACAGCAGCGGCAATTGATGGAATAAAAGCTCAACTTTTTATTATCATTCGCCCAGAAAGAAAACCTGGCCTTGCAGTGACTGTCTGTGGCAAAAAATTTAATCCCCATGGAACCGTACGCTCCTCGCATGACATGAAAACGCGCCAGCGACGAGAGATTTGGATATTCCTCCGGCATCCCACTTCTCCGGGCTGGCAGCCACCTTCTCGGCTCGGGTGTGGTGCACGGTGCACGGCAGCGGCAGGTTATGTAACCTTCTAGTATGCATCCACTGCAGCACCGGGTTCGACTCCCCGCACCCGACTGATCCGTTGCTCAACCCTTTTTATTTATTCATTGGCGTAGAAAACCTTAGTCTAGATTTGTTTGATGGGTCCTAACCGTAGCTCGTGCTTCGACGTCACGTGAACGCCAAACACAACCAGTCAGCGAGGATTTCGACATATTTTCTGGTTCAAGAAATTACCACAAACGCTGAAAGTGTTTGAACTGCATAGGCCTTTAATTTTCAAGTGTTCTGGGACCCATAGAAGATCTTAATGTTTCCCAAAGGCCCCGAGTTTTTGCACGTGCCTTGAGGCAGGTCTTCCCAATGAGGCAACTCCTTCCTGATTCGGCCTCCGAGGTGCCCGAAGGTCGACCTACGGTATTTTGTGCGCGAGTACAATCAGACCATAAATAAGTTTTTTTCCATTCCGCCCAAAAAAAAAAAAACTCCAATTTATGGTCTGACTACGGGAGACTAAGAAAACCTGGCCTTACAGCTGTTTGCAAAATTGATGACAGTCACGATCAAAAAGAAACAAAAACAAACTTTTGATCCGGCTGCGTGCCGACCTTCTATCTTACGCAATCCTGGGTGCGTTCGCAAGGGGTTGAGCAGGGCTTTCAAATCATGCCATACTTGCAAGTTATATAACAAAATCTCAGTGTTCCCAAATTCGCGCTGTGTGATTTGCATCTGAACTTTGAATAGCCCGTGCTTCGTCGGTTTTGCTTCGATTTCCTTCAATCTCAGTGATCCTGAAAGCGGCATACAAGGCAATCATATTCATGGAATAAAAATGTGTGGCACACATGATGTGTGAGGGCCAGAATGGAATTACTGATTGCTTAGTGAAATTCATGGGAAAATGAGTGTCTGATGGTAAAAGCAAAACCTTATATATATGCACCCTTTGCATTGAACTTACCTTTCGAATGAGAATTCTTTCATCAAAATCCAATCAGTATTGACCGAACGGTGCGCAATCTAATTTTCAGTTCAAATAACACAGCCCGAATTGAGGAGAAAGAAAATTTGTCATTTAGCACGAGAATATTGTATGATCTGAAAGCCTTCATTAACCACTTTCGAATGCGCCCTGAATCATGGAAATCGGCGCAGGGATGCGCGAGATCTGACCTCGGCAAACCACCGGATCAATTGTTTGTTTTTGTTTGTTTTTTGGGCCGACTGTCATCAATTATGCAAACAGCTGTAATAGAAGTCTGATAGACATATATAATCGCCATTGGAACCGCACCTCCTGGATGGCATGAAAACGCCAAACCGAACAGGCCCACGCGGGTGATAAGAGATTTGAATTCCTCTGGCAGCCCTCTTCTCCGGGCTTGCAGGCACCTTCTCAGCTCGGGTGTGGTGCATACCGCACAGCAGCGGCAATTGTGTTGGGTTGCATCAACTACAGCACGGGGTTCGACTCCCCGCACCCGAATAACTCAGAACAACCTTTTATTATCATTCGCCCAGAAATAAAACCCAACCTTGGCTGTCGGTTGAAAAAATTATCATCTTCATGGAACTGCACGCTCCTGGATGACATGAAAAGCTAAATTGAACAGGCTTAGGCAAGCGATGAGAGATCTCACGGAAGACAGGGTATTTCAACTCCTGCAGTTATGTCAATATCACGGCCATGCTCGAACAATCGAGCCATCTATACGGCGAAGTCAATGCTTAAGTGCAACCCGGGTGTGGTGCACGGCGCACATCAGCTGACATTCGCCGAATATCGTCCATACCGGCTGCAGACCGGGGTTCGACTCCCCGCACCCGAATAGGCCAATGAGGTACTTGACTTTTTATTATTATTCGCGCAGATTGAACAGGCTCACGCGGGCGATAAGAGATTTGGATATTCCTCCGAAAGCCCACTTCTCCGGGCTTGCAGCCACCGTCTCAACTCGGGTGTGGTGCACGGCGCACGGCAGCGGCGATTATTTGGTCAAGAGATAATAGTATGCATCAGCTGCAGGCCGGGGTTCGACTCCCCGCACCCGAATGCGTCGTTGGTACCTGCTTTTTTCCCCATTCCGTCGAATAATTTTCTGCACCCCACCGATTCCACTCTCGACTGAATGGAGAGCTGAATTAAACCGATGAGATTCTCATGCCTCTTTCTGTTTGACTCTCCACGAGCCAGATGCCAATTGATATTTGTTTCGATTGTTGGTTCGCCCCAACTCTTTTGACTCCCACTCACTCACTCAATTCGGGTGTGGTACACGGCGCATGGCAGCGGCAGTTGTCGATATATCCTTCCAGTATGCATCAACTGCAGCCCGGGGTTCAACTCCCCACACCCGAATGCTGGGCTTGCGCAATCTGTTTTCCCCATCCTATCTAACAAGCTCGTTCGCCCTACCGATCTCAATCTCGACTGGAGCTCAAATTAAGCCGATGAGGTCCCTAAGTTCAATTCCGAATATGTAGGAGCCAGATACCGGTTGATATTTAGTTCGAATGCTGTTTCCTCCAACCGCAGTGGATCCCAGCTATTTCGACTCTCACCCACCCACTCAATTCGGGTGTGGTGCAAGACGCACGGCAGCGCCTCTTTCCATTCGAGGATTCTGAAAATGTTGGCTGCAGCGCGGGGTTCGATTCCCCGCACCCGAATATACGATAACTTGGCCTCCAAAGTTATTTTTTTTTGCTTTGCTTAGACTTGAAAATATGGTTCAAAGGCCACCCCCTCCAGCCGCACTTTTACTCGAGTCATTGCTTTTCTGCTGTAAAACCAACCGTGGGAAAAAGCCGCGAGATTGTTATCTCGCCCGCTTATATATACATATGTATTCGGAGTCCAACTTGGATAGTCAACTCCGGTGTAGTTCATGGCGCAGGTCATGGGTTGATGATTGTAGACAGAGTCACTGCAGACCGGGTTCGATTCCCCGCACCCGAATCAATGAGGTTGACACTTGTTTCAGTCCTTTCTGTTTTTATTGACTCATGGGCTTTACTTACTTGCGTTCCCGTTTAATGAAATCATTTGCAGCATTCCTTTCTTTCTTTCCCAAGAGACAATCTTCTCTTTGTTCAAAGAATGCACCTCATAAAACAACCTGTGCAAGTTCCCGCTTCGACAATTGTGGCTGGTTGAATTTTGAACATGCCTACCTCAGGTGTAGGGCACGGTGCACGGCGGCACTTATTTCATTGTCATTCAGGGTCAATCAGCCGCAGCACAGAGTTTGGCTCCCCGCTGAAGAGCTATAAGATATATATTAGTATTGATTCAGCCTCAGAGAGGTTTCAAATACTCCGAACGAGCCTTCGACGAAGCGAACTGCAGCTTGAACGATTTGAACTATGATACGCATACGTGACCTTCAGTGCTGTTCATGCGGTTCGGTGAAAGTATGAAACAATCATTCATTTACCTCATGAAGATTCGGGGGGAACAAACCTCACAATGAGCCGTGCGAATTTTCAAAAATACCTGCTGTGTGCGGAGTTTTACATCACCGAAATTGTTGGCCTCGGGGTAAAACGGTCAAAAATGCGACTAATCAAGTCCCTAGTTGCATAATAACCTCAATTTCTAATTGCAAATCTTGCGAGTGGTAGTTGGAAATAGGGTCAATGAGGGTCAATTTTACGG